TGCATGAGTGCCTCTCTGCACAGAGCCCTCATTGTAAGAGCAGCAATAACTGTGTTCTCTCCCACATAGATGTCAGAAAATAGTGGCAATGAATGCAATTTTAATGAGTCACGTGAGTAACACCTTGACAATTAAAAGAAGTATGGTTTCAAACACGAGGTCCACCAAGTCCAACCTGGAATTAAAAAATAAAATCAGGCTTTAGTTTTGACAAGAGTTTTTAAAATACGTTTTTTGTCCTGCTGCCTCGGCAGCCCTAATGATTACTGCATTCTCACAGCTGATGTCAATGGAAACGCCGGTGCCCGACGCGGGTGCTGCAGAGCGCCGGGGGCAGGTGAAGGAGACGGTGGCCCTGGGGGGAAGGAGAGCAAGGCGATGTTTCCCACCACCCCAGCTCCCCTCCAGAGCAGTGTCCCGTTCTCCCCCTCCCCTCTTTTCTGGCTTCTCTGCGTGGAGACCACTGCCCCGTCAACACTTAATAGGCTTAACTTTAAGCACTGCAGTAGATCAAATGGGATTACTCACATACTTAAGCAAAGGTATAACATTTGGAGATGGGGAGAAGCACCGCATCTGGACCTCTTGGTGTGGTTCCTGCTCTGAACGCTCACCCAGTTCCAGTGCCAGAGGATGGCACTTAACAGGATTCACACAGTCTCTGCCAAAAGTAAGTTGGTGTGGTTCAGCACGTGCTAAACCACAAAAAGTGGGAAACTGGGGGAATGTAGCTTGCAGACACTTAGTTGGTTGGCCTCAACCGACTAACCAGAAGAGGCTCGACCCCGAACACAGCTGGAGCAAAAGGGTAAAAGGACAAGGGCTTACCACTGAGCCTGCACCACGCATGGCCGGGCAGGGGCAATCGGGGGAGCCGAACCAGCGGCTCTGGGAAGGGTTATCCGATAAGCTGTGGGCAGAGCACACGCGGTGTTGGAGACGGACACCACCACGGTGCAGCACGCCAGCCTGGCGGTGGAAGCATGGATGTGGGACTGTGGGGGGACTGCCGAAGGGCGCATGTGGAGATGTATTAGCACAGGTGATTACAGAGAAGCCAACACTGGGGGAAAAGCCCATAATTCCTTGAGTGGCTGAAAGAAGTAGGAAAGGCACTGGGAGCTACCAGTGGTCTTTCACAGGGTAAGAAAAAGAAGCCGAAGATTTAAGATACCGAGGCTGTCACAGAAATTCATGTGCGAGGCAAGGACTGTTTGTTTCTGTGTTTAGTTAGCATTTTACACCTTACCTGAACCCCTACGGAAGTGAATGGATGTAAACAGAAATAGAAGTAGGAGTGGAAGCCGAGGGAAGGAAGGCAGGCGGAGGGCTGAGGGAAGCTCTCATTGACTACCCATTTGAGGTCACTTCCCGGGTTCACTGAAAACCATGTACTAGCTGAAACTCAAACCTGGTTAGATGGTTGTAATTTTATAAAGGTATAAGAAGGGAAGTATAACATCTTTACATCCATCTCATGCCAAGCTGTTTCCATTCCTTTGTAGGAACAAGAACCTTTACAGGACCGATGAGCAGAGGGAAACGGAAGCTCTGTTCCCGGAGAAGGACGGTAGCAGTAGTGCCGAGCAGGTGCTCCTTCGCTGTGGCCTCCCCATCACACAAAGGAGAGCACGGTGAGTGCCCAGCCTGCCCCAGATACGCAGCTGCCCTTTTTAGGCTGTGAACCAACATGTCAAAACCAGCGCTGAGCCTCCTAAGTCATGGGCAGGGAGGTTGCGCAGACTGCAGCGGGTAGACCTGCGGAGAGGAAGGACCACCTGAGTCAGGATGACTATCGAGCAGGTCCTTCCCCTGCTTACGGCCTCCTTTCCTGGAGGGTTCCGGGCCTGGTGCCCCAGGCTGTGGAGAGGTGGGTGCCGCAGACCTGCCCTGTCTCCCTCTTCATGGCGTTTAGACACACACACAAAGTCTGCTTCAGAGCTGCTTGGGTTAATTTCCCAAAAGCAACCCCCACTAAACGAAGGGAGAAAGCCTCCATACAACTCGGCTGCAACGGCATCCCGAAGCCCACCCCGGCTGCCTCACTGCTGGATTTCAAACCGGTACTCGTGGGTGCCAGGAGGTGTGACGCTGAGGCGTCCATGGGCTGGAGCGGCTTTCCAGGCTGCCTTGATGCGCGGGCTCCCCGAGCAGAAGATGTTGTGTATCCGTTATGGGCACAGACCGGCGATTTGCTGGATCGGTCTCATTACCTTTCCCTTCAAAAAGCATCCACCGCTGTCTGCCTTGCGGTTTGGCAAGGGGTTAACGCTTTCTCTTCCCAAACCTCCGCTTGGCAGTACATCTCCCGTGTGCCGCAATTATTAAATGACACTTCACAACTTCATCTCCTCTTCTGCTACATCTGCTTGCTGCTCCCATGTGCAACCTCGCTCGCATCCCAAACATCTAAATGCATTGTTTCCTCTGCTTCTCCTGCCAGCATGGAAAGAAGCCATCCTTGAGGCAGGATTGCCTTTGAGCTGGCAGCAGACGAGTGATTGGCGTTGGGCATTACTGCTGAGACTCTGGCAGGCCGTTTAGCAGAGAACCTTGGCTAATGAATGTCATCCACACCTAGCAGATGTGCCACTGCCTGCCATGCCAGATTTTTGACATAATACAGTGCTGCTGGACACGGCGGTGCTTGGGAAAAGCCACGGCCTATCTTACGCCTCCAACGCAGCCTTCCATCTCACCCGCAGTTTCGCAAGAGAGAGAAACAAAACCTGCGCGGGGGCAGGGGGACGCAGCGGTGTCCCCTGTTCCTTGCCGGGGGTTTTAACCACTGCGTAAATCGTGGTTTTGCTGGTTTCCCTCACCTGCCAGGGGGCCTGAAAAAAAAAGAAAAAACCGAACCCACCCTTTTTTGCTGTGCTTTGGTCGCCGGCCCCAGCTGGTCCCTTCACCCC